TTTGCAGCTTCAGCAAACAGGAATCTTTGTCACAGCAACATCATTTTTGCTGCTCTTAACTTTTTATCTTAAACACAGTAATATATTCTGTCCTTTTTACTATGTTGTGGTTAAGTTTTTCACACTTGAAAGAGTGAAATGTGGAGTGCTATAGTTTCAAGTCAATACATGACACAAGAAAGAGGTTATCAAACATAGTGAAATAGAAGTCTGCAGTAAAGAGAAGTTTAACCTAATTAATCACATTGAAATCCTGAATTCTGCAGTGTATACACATCCCAGGTCATAGCTGCTTGGTTCTTGCCCCTACTTAAATTTTGGATCTTTATTTAGCTTCTGACATAGCTTGTGTTCTTCACTAGAGTATGAAAGAGAAGCAATTGCAAAATTCCTGTTGATTTCAGTTGGCTCAGGATATTGCCTCATTACATAATTGTCAAGTGGTGTGTACACATAATGTATTGATCTACTGACAATAGCTGATGTTTCCCTCAATGCCCATGCTTGTTTTTAAAGTTAATATATTTCTGTTATTTTTCAATAGCAAAAAATATACCTGCTGTTAAAAAGCATGGAAAACTTTGGGTTCTTAGAACCAGGGGAGTTGCATATAATATGCTTGAACAGGAGGGACATGGAAATACAGTGAGTTATGCAGTATGTAGGTCCCACATTTGATAGTCTGTTTTTTCATAGTTCTGTGTTTTTAATCTAGATTTGTCTAATTCTTTAGTATGTAGGAAGCATGCATGCTAATGAAATGCCCTAGAAATTCTACCTAGGGGAAACTAAAATAACATACTATCAACTTTCAGGCAGTAGTGGTTATGTAAGAGGTATGCTTTGGTATCATACCTATGCCTATAATCTAATGAACCTCAACTGGGGCTTCAGTAGTCTAAAAAACTCTCAGTGTCTTCAAAGATCACCCAACACTAAAGATCAGCCTTTTAAAACTTTTTCTTATGTTGTACTGGATAAAGTCAACCCTGATTGTCCTAAGTTGAGGAACTGTACAGTAAGTATGTAGTCCTGAAAACAGCAGGTAGAAATTGCTGTTGCTCCTGATCATTCTGCTGTTGACTAAGAAGCTTTTCTTCCTTGGAAAACATGGAAGTTCTTAAGCAGATATTTACAGTGATGTTTTCATTTGCAGAAAGGTTATAAACTTTATAAGTTTGTAAAATGTATTTTTCAGTACTTTTTCATTTTAAGGCTAAAGCAGCTAAACTCTTTAATTAAAGCAGAAGGCTGTGAAATAAGGTGCTTATAAAATAGTTTAGCTTGATTCAATTTATATTTCTTACTGAGAAAATTTTGTGTAGAGAATTGATAGTGCAGAACAAAGACTTATTTGGCACACAGCTGGCTGACCCACAGCCATTTTTGTGCTGCATTTACAAGCATATATTTCCTTCTGTCACATGTAATGCCTTTTGTTAGGGATAGACTTCATAGCAAAACAAGGCTTAAGAAAAGCTTACTATATGCACAGACTTGTCATTCAGTACAGAACATACCAATAACATTTCATATATGTCAATGAAATTACATTTTTGACCCAATCCAAGTCTACACTGACTTTCTGTTATTCACTTTAAAAAAAACTTTCAACCTTTTCTATTCTTTTAATTCTACCCTTGGATGCTCTTTCATTCTTTGTTGTGGAAATAATCTATTTTGAAAATCGGCAGGCACTGCTTTACTGGGATACAGTCTGCTCTACCTTGTTGGCCTTGCAATGAGATGAAGCAGAATAATGTCATTACTGTAAGGGCTCATTTTGTCTGAACTTTCTGGCAGCTTTGTGTCCCTGATCTTGGGCCTTCTGTGGCTCATTGAAAAACAAACAACCTCTCTGCCCTCAAAAATTCTGTAATCAACACCTGGCTACAATCCCTAACACCGAGGTGCTAATTGGAAGCATAACTGAAAAGGTCAGGCTATTCCAAGGCAAGAACAGAATTTAAGATTAAAGGCAAAAATTAGGCTTGGGAGTGCAGGAGGGGCTGGAAGAATGAGTAGAAAAGTTGCTGCAGTAATTTAACATTCTTAAAGTCCTCTGGGCTGCAAATTCACTTTTGACCTTAGTTTGTACACCTAGGGGACTAATTTAGTACAGTTTTACGTATGATGTTAACTAGCTGCTGAATATAGCACTGAGAATTTAACAGGGAAGTGTTCTTTTCTTACTGGGATTTCGGGCATGTGGCAGTAGTCCTTTTTTCTTTTCTGACAAATTGGGAGTGACTTTGATTTTTTGGAGACATTTTTAATGATGTGCCTTTGTTTTGTAAAACCACTGAGTTAAAAATTAATATAGCCCCAAGCAGTTATAAACTATGTTTCCTCCCACACAACATAGCAACAAAACTGTTTATCCTGTTTTACTGTGTAATCATTACAGTTTTGCACTCGTGTTCACTTTGGCGTGATGTTTCTTCTTTGATGCCTAGTAGAAAGCGTATTCAATGTTTTTGTCCTACTGCTTGCCTTAAAATGCTGGAGAATTTTAGAAGCAATCTTTGAATGAGGGAAGCTAGTTATAGGAAATGAAGCATTAGACTGCTTTTATCTTGTAAAATACAGTGAACAACTTAGGGATTTTCTTTTTAAAAACAAACCCCAGAAATTAATACTTTCCAGATTTTAATTTGATCTATTGCATCTAGGCACAATACTTGTTATACCAGCTTTTAACTCTTCCTCATGTTTAGTCCTCCTCTGAAGGACAAAGCTAAGCTTTTTGCAGCCTGTGGTACATCATGAAAGGTGATGAAAGAAGCAAACAGTTCCAGCTCCTAATAATATCAGCATCTTGAAAATGTTTAAAAAAAAAAGTTCACTGAATGTATTGAAATAAAAGGCTAAAGGCTCTGCAGGTGGATGATGACACTATATATGGCTTTTTCATAAGTTACAATGCCTTGTTAATGGGGAACTGATTTTCACTTTCAAATCCATTGTACTCACTTAGAAGACAGCACAGTGCTTATAATCAAAATATGTATATAACTGAAGGAAAGGCTATCAGAAGCTTGTCGGCAGACTTTCAGGCTTCCTTCTGTATATGTTCAGCAGTCACCAATCAAACAAATAGCTGTAGATACTTAAACAGATATTGGACTTAAAGAAAAAATTCTTGACCTCATGAACAGAAGAACCTTCACTGACCAAAGCCAAGTTTTTATTTGTTTCCTTTGACAACTTTTTCTCCTCCCTAAGGGGAAATCCTGAGATACAAAATAAATGTGTGGAACCATATTCCAGCACTCTATCAACAGCAGACCAACCTGACAGGTGTAGCCTAGGGAGAAAAAAGAAGCTTTCATAAAGACTTAGTAGCACAGCCTGAAATGCTCAGGAAATAAGATAACTTGAAGAAGCATTTGAAAATAAACAAGGGAGGAAAAAGCAATAGGTATGATTTTATAGATGGGAAAAACCCAGTATTTGTGTTCTTGAGAGGTCCCAGTAAATCAACTCTGAAATTTGTAATAGTTTCAAGTGTGGACTGAAATTGAAATATGGAAATATTAAACAAACCTTAAAGATATAAAGGTTACTATCTAGCAAAACTGGTTGGTGGGTGGATTTATGGGTTTCTGGCTGTTGGTAGCTTATGCTTTTGTAAAAGATGTTTATCCCTTTAGAATCCCATCCTTTGTTATGGGTCAAGTTCTTTCCTATTTTAGCTCTGAGGCTCCAGGGAGAAATAAATATATTTCCATCATATGGGGAGACTGTAGCTGTGGTTATAGACTCAGTTGTTTTCTCTAGGGATGCTCTGTCTCATTGCACAGAGTGAAGATGAGCAGAGCCAGTAGAGCAGAGATACATGCACTGAAGTCTGCCACAGAGAAGATGAGGAACCCCACCACTGACATGTGGATGCATGATAGACCATATGAGCTCTTCTGTATTCTACTGGGGGCTTTGAAGAGCTTTATTTTCCCTCTGGCTTCTATAATAGGAGCTAAGAGTACACATGAAGGTTTTGTACTTATGTTGTGAATAGCTCTGTATAAGCAGAAGTCACTGAAAGTACTGCTGCTGTGGGAGATGGATAGAAACCAGAGGAGTAGAGAAGGTTTTAACCAGATATTTTAGAGTAAATACCTTCAGATAAGTATGAATTTTCATAAGTGAATCAACATGACTGTTGATCACAAATGGTTTAGTTTGCAGTGCTACTGTAGCTGTTAACTTTCCCGGTGCATGAGGATGTGCTGCCTCTGCCTGAATGCAGCTGTATTTATTCGCTGAGTTTAATACTAAGTAGGTTTTTTTATGTGTACAACCTTAGAGGAGGAATTCAGTCTATTTCAGTAATACAGCCAAGTACGAATAATTTTGCATAATAAAGACAAGTTTTGCCATACTTAAAGTACTTCCACCTGTGAGATGTTTCCTCTGGGGGATGCAGTGTAACTTTCATAGTGACCATTCCTAAACTAGGAAGTTACCTAGTAGTGTAATCACACTAATACAGCCCTGCCACTCGGAATATTTATTTGGTCTGCACTGGTGTTTGCCATGTGTTACCTAGTAGAATGACTTAAATCAGTTTGTTTCATGGAAAGTCATGAGGCTATTCCTTGGTGAGAGTGAATTGAAGTTCGAAGTTTTATCTCCACTTGTGGCTGAAGTGGAAAGATGAGTCTTTTGGCCAAAGTCAGGTCAGAGAATCGGGGAAATGGAGGCACAACGGGGACCTGAAGAATGTCCTACTGTAGCTTATACCCTTGCACTACTGGAAACTTGACTATGTATATCATATCACTAATGTGATAATTATATGCAGTTGCACACATACAGCTGTACCTAAATGGTACTAAGCATTCCTGTTCTGACTGGTAGTGTTTCAGAGCAACACTGCATGAGAGTGAATGACTATCCAAGGTATCGAGGAGAAATCAGGCAGTAGTTGCTAGTAATTTCAAGAGAAAAATGCACATTTAAGTTTGTTCTAAACACTTGCTTTGGGTTTTTTCCCCTAACAGAGACAAGGAACCGGAGCTACAAATGGAAAAGACAAGGCAACTGGCGAGAATGGTAAGGGTAGACTGTATTACTTGATGGAGATTGAGTCAAATTCAGCCAATTTTTTTTCTTATTGTAATGATAGATGTCAGGTAGTGTGGCCTTGGCTTCAGGTCTTAACTTCTGAATGTGTTTTAAAAACAGGAAGGGCTTCAGTGATGTTGTTTTCTTTAGGAAATTATTTAAATGTACAAATATAAAGTAGAGATCTGATTCTGAGCTTGTACTATGGTAAACCAAAGGGCTCTGTAGAAGTAAATACAGATGCAAATGAAGCTAGAACAAGACAGTGTTATGTATGTGTGTAAAGGACACCAGGAGACTAAGTTAAATATTACGAGCATCTGCTATGTGAATGAGGAAGGTGGACAAAAGTGAGCTAATTACAAAGGACTTGTTCATAAACACAGCTTCTGTGGCCTGATTCATCCCACCTAATTTTAGGCCCATAACTAAGGTACTGAAGTTAGAAGCTGCTTGCATAGAGCTCATTTGGGTGTTGCTAGAGATGGGCTATGGATAGACCATATGGCAAATAGGCTCCAAACTTTGGCATTCTACATGTGCAAATTGGGACTCATGCTCCACTGGTCTAAGGGGGTGAGTCATTGTTTTTCAGACTTTAACAAAGGGGCTGGGTAGAATCAATTTCTGCCCCTTAAGTGGCACAAACGATTGGAAAATGTTGATTTTTTTTTTTTTTGTTTCTGAAGAAAGTCAAACTGAATTTCCAGTGAAAACAGCAATTGTATTTTAGCTGAAATCTCATTTTATTTTATAGAGGAGGCAGAAATGGTTTATATACAAATGATCACTTAAAAATGTTTCTGATGGTATTTAATTAAAGGAAGACATTTTGATCAGCTTTATTATATACCCAGCTGATGAGGCAACATCAGTTTGTAGACACTCATGAACAGGTTGAGGATTGAACTATATAAATATGCTGTTTGCTTCTGTTTGTTCATCCAGTTCTAATTAAAAGAATATATTCTGGTAGTTCATACCATCTACTAAAAAAGCAGGAAGAATGTTAAGTGTCATCTTTGAAAAGCCAAGGGTTTTCTAAGATGGGATATTTGAGAGGTTATGTAAGATACACATTTTGGTCTTCATGCATTTGCCTGTACAGAATTTTTGGGCCCTTTGAGGCAACACATCCTAAAACATTGAGACTTCTTTATGCTTAGTTTTCCTGTTAGAGAGGTGACTTTCCCATAAGGGCTGTTTGCATAATGTTACAGTAAATGAAATCTGTATATGACGTTCCCAATATGATAAAACACAAATTAGAGTGGAAAAAAAATAAATATTTTGGCTTGTTAGTGTCTTGAATTAGTGGGAACAAATGTACCCTGACAGCAAAGCTATTTGCATTCTCAGGTTAACAAGAAGCAAAAGCAAGCAAAATTGTCAGCCATTCAGGCAGCATGGGAAGCATGTTTTTCTCTTTACTTTGACATTATGAACTGAGCTCATTGCCTTGAATTTGTTCACAAATAACTGTCCTGTTGTCAGGTTTAGCTTAGATTTAGTGATCCTGCAGCCTTTTAAAAAACAAATTATTTTTTTCTCAAAGGGAATTTTGAGTGAAAAGGAACTGCATCATTAATTCACAAATGTGTGTGTATATATATATATATATATATATATATATGAATCTAGATGTAGTTCAGTTTTAGGTATCTCATAAACAGGTGGATGCACAGTTAATATTAGACAAATGGATACCAATTATTTTTTGTAATGAAATTAAAACAAAAAACCCCCTGTCCCCTATGATCTTCTGATCTTCCCAGTCCACATGCTTGCATGAAAGTAAAGTAGAATCTGAACCTGAAGTTGAATTCTAAATCAGAGGCAAAAATGTATACCTCTTGGTTGTTATTAGCTCTGTGTAGTTAAAACTCAAACAGAATTGATTTATTCCTCTGAAAACTGGGGGTGTGCTGTAAACCTACATGCACAATATAAATCCTGTTACATGTTTTTTGGCCAGAAGTCTGCAGTATGTTCATGTCTTAAATTTTCATTGTGGCTGTTATCAGCCTCTCCAGATATTTGTTTCCCTGTAAAAAGGAAATTTTCCCTATTGTTGAAAAGGTGGGGGAGAAACCAAAAACCCCTTTCATCATCTTGTTTAAAAAAAATATCATGCTATGAAAATGTTTGCAAAGGCAGAATAGTCTGGTTGCTGTCCTTGCCCTTGATTACAAGATCAGATAAAGGTGCTAAAAACCAGCACTAACAACAAATAATGATGCTTAGCTGTTTTCAGGGCTTTTGATTCACACAGTGGAGTCGCAGCTATAGATCACATGTTGTTAGTGCATTGTTTGTAGAAAATGAATTTTGTTCCTGTCTCTAGGCTGGCTCAAAACAGAAGAAAAGAAAACTATTGAGCATGGTAATGCACGTTCTCCCTCTTTGAAGACATGTATGGTGTTGCTGTCACTGTAAAGCATTCAGGGAAATTCAGTCTCTGAAGATTCCTTTTATAGTAGTGATGGTTTTGTTAGACACAAATGCATGCTCTTGTTTGACCTTCCTTAGATAGCAACATTATATCCTTAGTTGTATTTAGTTCCTACCACCACAGGAGTGGTGTCTTAGCTAGCCTTCTTTCCAGTGGAGGATTTTATCTCACACAAAATGCAGGCTGAGTCCCAGTGTCTACTGAACTGGCACTGTCCTGCTTTAGCAACCTTGCCTTTGTTGACTCAGGGGAATGAACAATGAAAAAGACTGAGCTTCAGAAAAGCCAGCAGTGCAGAGCCGTGTTAGGTCACAGTACAAGAGTTTGTGATGATGGGAGAAGAAAATCCCACACAAACTGTACTGTTGTCATGTTGATGAAAGGACTGTTATACCTACATGGGACCTTCATTCATCAGCCGTTATCTTCCTTCAGAAGTCTTCTTTGAATAGTCTTCCAGACTGCTAGGTGGTGAGGTGTGAGGGACAAAGCTTCTGCTTCTCTTTCAGAGCACTGGTCATTAGCAGACAGGATTCCTCTCCACTATATTTTGTATAATATATACCACTATATCTTCTTGGATTTTATGCAGCAATAAGCCTGGTAGCTCTTGGAAGCTGTATCAGTATTATCAGTACTGAATAATCACTCATGTTGGAGTAACTTTTACTCACACTGAGAGTTCTACTGTTAACCTTCAGTGACCTTTGAATGCTGGTCAAAGCCTAAGATGACATTTGTGTCTCTTGACATTTTAAACTTGTAGTTTGTCCTTTCACAGGTTATGATCAAAACAGATGGTGATTCATGTCTTCCTAAGGAAGAGTGACTATTGCATTGCATTGCGATGTGCTCTCACAGTATGTCGATGGAAGAGCTCCTGATAGTTTCAGTGGGCACTGTATAATACTTTTCCATGCAAAACATACATAGATGTCTGACAGCAATATAGTAACTTCAATCTTTTGTCAGAGTGGGAAGACCAAAAATATTGTTGGGAGTAAATTACAGAAACTAGTTTTCCTGGGTGAAAACTGGTCAAAGGACTCTTTTTAAAGAAACGCCACCCTAATAATTAGCAGTAATACTATGCATACAGAAGTACCGGTAGAAAAACATCTTCCTGTATGTAGAAGCCATGTAACTGTAGCTGCTGTAACATCATTGGGTCTTGAAGGACCTCAGCCTATGTGAAAGCCAAGATGTTTGTGTATGCAATTATGAACTTGTAAACTCTGTTATATAATGCTGTATGGTAGAAAATCCAAAGGGAAGACAGCAGTACTGTCCCCATGCACCCCCTCCTATATAAATCTGGCATGGTCTAATAGTGTGGGATAAGAAACTGATTTTCTTTTTGCTCACCTGGTTTGGTTAATCTGGCCTATCATGTTTGCAAATACATCCTAAAAGAAAACAAGATGTTTCTACCTTACTATTCTTACTACCTTGGTGGTGTCACAAAGTTCCTTTGTAGGTTACCACTTGTCACTTCTCATTCTGTTTCACATTACCCTGTGGTTTTCTGCTATGTAATTTGCAAGCTGGTATTGTACAATCTACTCTACAGCCTAGCACTACTGGCAGGGAAGTAATTGCATCAGAATCAATTATTTCTATCTTCAAATTTAGAATTGCACTTTTTCCTATTAATAGAGCTTACCCTTTCTTAAAATATGTAAGGCATGTGATTATTAATTGTTATTAGTAATTTTCTCAGAATATCAGATTTATCATACAGGAATATGAATATTTATAGTAACAAAATATGTGTTTTCATGTGATGAATTCTGTAACTTCTTGGGTCTGAGTGAAATGAAAGCAAGTAGGTTTTGCATCAATTTACATGTCATGGCAGATTAGGCCTACACAGTCATGGCAAGATGGTCAGTTGTACTGAGAAAGTGAAGCCCATTTCAGTTTCTACTCATTCTTGAGCATTCATCTTGTCAGCATATGATCTCTGCTTTGGGGTGGTCGGAAAACTCTAAATGAATAAATGCTCTGCATTTCCTCCTTTCCATACGGTACACCATGGCATGCCTTTACATAAGGATAAGAAACAGGAGAGTTAAAGTAATTTCTTATCTTTTGCATCTAAAATGGAGTCATCTCTCACTTAATATTTTCTAGAAGCATTCAGATTTAACAGTAATGATAAAGAATTGTGCAAGAATAATGATATCTCTCTAGTAAGCTTTCCTGTTGGAGGGATATGTATCTTGCAGTGTTATCCATAGTCCATTCACCCACATCATCTACCCAAGGAATTTGGAAAATTCTGTACTCTGTGCTCATTGCATTCAGAATCTTGCTAGGTCCAACAGTGAATAATCATCTTCATAGTTATTTAAGCAGAGTGCTTAGCTTAATAGAGCTCTAATTCCTGGCTAAAGGCCAGAATCATTATTGTACTATGTTTTAATATAAATATCTGTTTAAGAACTCGAAATTAATTTTCCACTAATATTCTCCAGTGACTATGTAAAAATGTACTGGTTTTGGCAACAGCCCTACAAATAAACTCACTCGTGGA